AAAACAATAGAATATGTCCTAATTATGACTTACTTTTGGGGACAAGTACAGAGCAACTAAGCAAGAACCCACCTTCTATAGGCCTTCATTTCATAGACAATAGATAAAGTTACTTCTGCTAGAGAATTGAATTTGAATAACGTCCTACCTTGGCGTTTATAGGGCTTCAAGTTCGGAAGTGCACGTGTGTGCTAATGTCTTAAGTTTTATATGTTTAAATATGGGGACAAGTGCACAATAACGACAAAAGACCCGAACCTCCACAAGTATTCATTTGATACAAAATGCATATAATTATGTGCTTCCCTTAAAAGATTGAATTGAAATAAAATACTACTTTGTCATATTTACTGCTTCAAAAACAGCCGTATACAATTTCTGTAATGTCCAATATATGGCCTACTTTCAGGGACAATTACACATACACGAAACAAGACTCCAAACTCAACAAGAATCCATTTGATACACAATACATGTATGTACTACCCAACAAAGATTGGATCCAAATAACATCCTACTTTGTCAGTTATAGAGCTTCAAATGTAGCCAAAAATGAAAATTTCCGAACATGTCCAAACTATGGCCTACTTTCAGGGACAAGTACACAACAACGAAACAAGACTCTAACCTCAACAAGATATCATTTGATACACAAGACATGTATGTACTACCCTACAAAGATTGGATTAAAAACATCCTACTTCGTCAGTAATAGAGCATCAAAGATAGACTGAAATGTTAATTTTAGCACAAGTCCAAAATATGGCCTACTTTCTGGGACAATTACACAGCAACAAAACAAGACTCCAACCTCAACAAGAGTTCATTCGATACACAATAGACGTATTTACTACTCTACAAAGATTGAATTCAAAGAACATCCTACTTTGTGATTTATAAAGCTCCAAAGCTAGCCAAACATGATAATATTCCGCACATGTCCAAAATATGGCCTACATTCAGGGACAAGTACACAACAACGAAACAAGAATCCAACCTCAACAAGATATCATTCGATACACAATACATGTATGTACTACCCTACAAAGATTGGATCCAAATAACATCCTACTTTGTCAGTTGTAAAGCTCCAAAGATAGCCCAAAATGATAATTTTTACACAAGTCCAAACTATGGCCTACTTTCTGGGACAATTACACAACAGCAAAACAAAACCCCAACCTCAACAAGATATCATTTGATACACAATACATGTATGTACTACTCTACAAAGATTGGATTAAAAAACATTCTACTTTGTCAGTTATAGAGCTTCAAAGATAGACCGAAATGTTAATTTTAGCACAAGTCCAAAATACGGCCTACTTTCTGGGACAATTACACAGCGACGAAACAAGACTTCAACCTCCACAAGCATTCATTTGATAGACAATTATTAGGATTATTTATTATCTAAAGTAGTATTAAATTGCTGTTTTCGTATTGTATTTATTATATCTTAAAGATGACAAAAATTTGTATTTTTCTTGAAATGTAAAATATGACCTACTTTCGAGGACAACCACGTGAGAACCAAACAATTGGCCAAACTTTACAAACATGCATTTTATAGCTCATATAATTATGTATCTGTTATTACATTTTGAACGAAAAAAAATCACCATCTTTGGAGTTACAGCGCTTCAAAAATGGGCAGAAATAGGGATATTTCAAAAGCCCAAAACACTGTATTGTCTTAGTGATGCCCAGACCCTTTAAACTGACCTTTTGAAAATTTTAAAGCTATCTTAGGAAAGCAGATAAGTTGGACATTTCAGCACAGTTTTTGTCTTTCCGATATATTCAAGCATTTGTTTGTAATCGCGTCCTAAACGTTGGCAATTTTCATGTTTCTGGCATGCGTAAATCATGGAAAATGGCCCTAAAACATATTTGGGCTGTTACCATGGCAACGGTCGATGTGGAGCAGAAGGAAAGCTATTTTGAGGGGTTGTGGGCCAAGTACTATCACTGTGCAAAATTTGAGCCAAATCGATTTTTCGACCCCTGCCACCATTGTTTGATCCTTACAGACATTTGCTCTTAACTAACAAAAGAGCACCGATAATTGTAGGTTGATCAAATATATAAGATTTAACACATATGCAGCTAGACCTGTCAATTGCATGCAGTTGGGCATGATAAAATCTTATGCTTTAGAAGAAAAATTATTTTTTTCAAGTCTTGTCCGACAGCTTCATACAAATACTGTAAGTTATGACATTGGAGAAATAACTACATAATTCTGTATGGTACCGGTAAGCGATATAATAATTACTTCTTTTATCATTTGGTAAGTTATAACGTTAATAACTTTTAATTGTACTCATTGCTTCTCAGAACACATACCACACGTATGGTGTTGTCGTCGACAAAATGGCGGGTCATGTGAACAGTAAGACCCTTCCCGTCATAGTTTTGGTACACGGAAACCAGGTCCTCTCCTTCCATGGTGTAGGTCACCTGGTGGATATAACAGAGTTGAAACAAACATAGAATACCGCAATATTATTGTAGTAAATCGTACACTCACAGTCTCAATACATACATATAGAATGTAGATGATTATCATATAGCCAGAAGATGTCAGCCAATCAGAAGGCTCCATTTCCCATCAGTTATCAGGCCGTAACATCAAAAGTGGTCGGTTATTAGAATACCCGACTACTTTTTGGACCGTACCATTATGCAACCGACAGGACACTAACAGTAGAATTGCACACTCGGTAGGTTTATTCGGTGGTTATCGCACCTGACCAGGGATTATCTCACCATATACACCTCGGGGCGGGGCATTAACCGTTTATTGATGTTCAGGACCTCTATATTTTGCACAGAATTTAGGTCAGTTTCTTACCTTCCTTTTCATGCCCATGGGGTCGGTTTCCTCGCCCTCCACTCCCAGGGTGAGGGTGTTCTCGATAGTTTTGCCCATGAACTCCAACTTAGATGTCATGACGTTCCCTGACAGGGAGGAGTTGACGGGGAATTCTGCATCCTTCAGCTGGTCCCACATCTCTGGGGGAACGCCTGCAATGATAGAACACATAAATTTGCCACTGTGAGCTACAGGGGTGCCAAAGAATTCATAGGAATTTTACAGAATTCATAGGGATTTTACGGAATTCATGGGAATTTTACAGAATTCATAGGAATTTTACGGAATTCATAGGAATTTTACGGAATTCATAGGAATTTTACGGAATTCGTATGTTTCCTTGTAATGGATCGTATGGATTTCGTAAAGTTCCTATGAATTCCGTAAAATTCCTATGAATTCCTTAATATTCCTATGAATTCCGTAAAATTCCTATAAATTCCGTAAAATTCCTATGAATTCAGTAAAACTATTTGTAAGTTAAGTCAAGTAAGTCAAGTAAGTCAAGTAAGTCAATTTGTACCTGCTTGCCAGCTTTTTCATGCTACAAATCTAGTAATCGACACAACATTTCCTATACATTGGGGATTTGTATCCGGTATATTCGGCTAACGGTTGTACACCGCTGCTGCCTTCTCTTCAAACCACTCGATTTTCCTACCAACTTGACCTACATGTCACGCCACACGCTTCTGTAGTCTAACTACACCTGACCTACACTACCGTGCATTCAACTACATCTGAACTGCCCCTACTGTCCCACACAACAACCATGTCTCAAATAACATAACCCAAACGTGACTTGCACGCACCAAGCTTCTCCATGATCTGCTTGTAGTTTTGAAATTCCTACCCACTTGACCTAAAGCTACACGCATCTTTACATGTACAACTACACCTGACCTAGACTACTGTATATCCTACCTACCTGTACAACTAACGTTAGGCCACACCGAATTGATTTTATGGATGACATCCGCGCGCGCATTGATTTTCGCCTGTCGCCCTCAAAAAAAATCACGTCCACCGAGGCTCTGGCCTGGCTCTAGGCCTGGGTACTCCATGGTAGTTAGCGACAAAACGGAGCCGAGCACCCAGGCTATCGAATTCGAAACTCCACGACTCAAGTCCTCAGTACATACGTACAGTACCGATTCATAAATTCCGCAAAAAAGGAGCATGTGCCGGCTTGTCGTATACGTCGCTAAGAGCTGCCGCGAATTCACAATACCAGGTTTGCATTCCTATGGTTTAGTAGAATTTTTATTTTTTGGCCGGAATTTTTTTTTTGTTCGCCCGCACGCACTAGTTTGAGGGTCTTCAGAGGATGTCATCCAAAAATTAGATCGGTGTGGCCTTACATCTGAACTGTATCTACTGTCCCATGGCCACACAACCATGTCTCAAATATAACCCAAACGTCACGGACACGTACCAAGCTTCTCCATGATCTGCTTGTAGTTGTCCGAATTCTCTCCATGCTTCCATTTCCCAGTGGACTTGTTCACGTCGAAAGGCATGTTGTAGGGAGGTTGTGAGAGATCGTGTGGAGGTTGTAGTCTAGTGGAGGTGCGCTCAGGTGTGAGAAAAACGCTGGCTCGGCACCGCTTTAAGTAAAGGGCAGGTGACCTTGTGTATAGGGCCGCTTTAATTTAACATCATGGACATTGTCCTGGGGTTATACTCTCCAAGCAGAGGTTTTGGGTTTCGGCTTAATCTAGACGTGTTTTTAGGCTTTTTAATCGGGATTTCTTTTTTTACACTGGAATATTTTTACGCCAACAAAAAGATAGCAGTGCAAAAATGAATGCCCATTAGAAAAAGCCTAAAAACAGGCCAGAAATGAGCTAAAACCTCAAAATTCTGCTTGGACAGTACTGGAGCACGAGAACATTGTTGGGGTCAAACTTGTTGTTAATTTGAAAACGTATATACGTTAGATTCATTTATAGATTAAGTTTGTATTTTATATGTATTTATATTTTATTTGTATTTTATATGTAGAAAGCAGCAGTTTAACACTATCTGGTAGTCGAAATACTACATGTGGTTATTGAATTTATTCATCGATACTTTTTTTGCTAAAGCATATTTGGTGGACTTGTATTTGAATTAAACTGGCCTTAAACGTTAACACATCTCATGGCTCCAAATATGGGCATGCGTTAGGACGCTAAATATTAACGATGCCAAATATGGGCATTCGCTCGCTAGGTCGAATGACTCATTGAAGAACAAATATTATTGACTAATGTGGTGTTTAATCGTCTTTTCATCTCGAGGCTAGGTGCTTAAACATGCCGTCCGGAGCTTAGTTACTCCGTGCAAAGGTTGTTGATTTTATAAAGCCCTTGGACAAAAGACTGGTAATCATTTACCCATGTGTCTGCATGCCACTGGGGAGTATTCTTAGCGTACTATTAAATCTGTCCTTTTTAATTATATCAAAGAGAAGTTCCCATACTTTGAACACTTAAGCGTAAATGATAAATTTGTATTTCTGATGCGTCTAGACAAACCCTGTATCACAAACATGATCTGCTCCCACATTTTCCACTGTACAAAAAAAAAGCGAGAAGTTGACCTCTCTATATTAGCTCAGTGACTAGAACACTTTGTATTAGCCTAGTATAGTACCCTTGTATGTTCCTTATGTATGTATGTCTAAGTCAAGTAGTGCATCTTTTGTCTCCAATTTTCTATATACGTTTGTTATGTGTCTGGTATTTCATTTCATTTCATTAAACTAAGACTACAGCAAGTAAATTTTATGGATGACATCCTCCACAGACTCTAAATGCACAAATCTAATGCGACAGGGCAAAAAAAAAAACAGGCGGGCCAAAAAAAACAAGGTTCCTATATTTTCAAATTTTGACAGCGTAAACCATGTTAAACAAGAAATGATACCTATATTGTGCTACGTTTACTGCAAGATATCACAACATCCATTTGTCACTAAAAAATAAAAGTTTTCATTGCACAAATGATTTTGAATCAGTGAACATCACATATGAAAGAAATGAAAAACTTCACGGCATAAAAGTAAAAAACAAAACAATAAATCAGAGTCTTGTTTTGTCTCCACTCCTCATATTTATCTGCCAGCCACGTTCCGGCATGTTAAGAGACATTTTTGCCCATTTTTAGAATTTTGACCACTTTCAGAGGGCAACAAAATTTCTTTTGTTTTTAAAATATCTGGCAAAAATTAATGCTCGCGTTGATGTCATCCATAGAATTTACTTGCTGCGGCCTAAGCGTAATATTCACGCCGTCTGGATCCCTGAGACTACCAGACGATAGCAAAGCTGAACAATGGAACACTGTGTAACAGGCACCACGCTCAGGTTTCATGCTTTTGTCTAGTACAGCCCTGCGTTTTAGAGACTTCAAAGTCATTGACAGTCGCCATGTTAGAAAGGGGGCGTGGTGGGCCTTAAAAGGGGTGTGTGGAGGTAGAATAGGGGTGTGGTGGGTTCAAGTGAGTGGAACATAAAATGTGAGCGTAAGGAACGTAAATATGAGAGTGTGAAAGAGTACGGGTGCGTGTAGCGTAAATGTGAGTGTGTGGAAGGCAAAAGAAGTTTATGTAGATGGAGAAATATGGATATAGAAGCCCAGACTTCTTGTTAGTCACGGTAGGCTTTACTACAAATGTATTCACCAATTTCACACTTCCCATAATGCCTAGTAACGGTCACGGATATGACGTAAGACCACTCCCTCCCCCTTCCACGATGTAAATATTTCCAACAAGTTCTATCGACAAACTGGTCAACTATTGTTTTGAATTATTTCTCTAGTATAAAGCGCATGCCATAATTGTATTTTTGTTGGAATTAGAGAAAATAACGTACCTTCTATCGTTCTACCTTCTACCGAAGACTCTCCTACTCGCACGGTCGCATTACGTATATTAGAACGATAGAAGGTACGTCATTTGCATAATTTGCATTTAACACACACACAGACACACAGACAGACGCGCCAAAAACAATACCTCCATTTTTTATGGAGGTAATACTAGTAACACACATTTGTCAGTGTGAGCTACAAGGGCCATGCAAAGTGTAAAACCATGTACAACATAGAGCGATATCTTAATCTTGCAGATTTCGAACTACGCTCAGCCATTAGCAAAATTAGAGTTAGCGTCCATCCTCTGGAGATAGAGAGAGGCCGGTATAGAAGGCTACCTGTATGTGAAAGAATTTGTAGATATTGTAGTGTAAATGCTGTGGAAGACGAAATACACTTTATCTCAAACTGTTCCTTTCATAGCAACGCTCGAAATGAGTTGACCATTCATCACAATTTTACTAAATTTAAAAAAAAAAAACTATTCTTCTTTTAACTTCCCCAAACCCACTAATTTTGCAAAAGGTGGGACATTACGTCTTGCATGGCCTAAAAAAGAGAAGTCAAACACATCAGACACAGTTTTAGACATAGCTATAGCTTTAGACAACTACCTTTTATCATGTAGATTTTAGTTATTTTATACTGTTGTTTTTGTAATTTGCAATTAGCCTCCGAGCACGAATTTGCAATAAACTTCTCAATTAGACTCCTTTGCAGGCTGAAGAAATCGGCCTAAAAGGGAGATATCATTGGCTAAACTCCTGCGGCAACTGATATGCCACATTTAGGCCGATTTCTACGATTTACTCAGCCTGCAAAGGAGTCTAGACGAGACTATACAGGGGTGCCAAAGAATCCATAATCATTCCATAGGAATTCCATGGGAATTCATACGAATTTTACGGAATTCTTATGAAATGGGTAAAAAATCCCGTCGTCCTTTTATAGTTGTTTATAATTATTCACACATGATTTGATACCATGGTTGCTAACGGTATACCCAGCCTTGCGATGCGTAGTGGGAGCAACTCTTATTTGTACCTGCTGGCTACTTTTCTTCTGTGTAAAGCTACGGTCACAACCCGCCGTACGTGCCTCTGCGTGCTGTGTACGTGTAAAACGTGGGCAAACGCAGGCCATCCGTGCGTGGTGAGCACCGCCTCCGTACGGAATCATACGGATTTGGGAGCACGCAGACACGCCGTAGAACTTTAAGTGCATGTAAACCTTTTTCTACGTGCGGTCTGCGGATCCACCACCCGTGCGTGCGAGTACGAGCGACGCACGTGCCCCGTACGTTATACCGTTTTTTTTTTTTTTT